GCATTTCAGCTGGACTTTGGTCTTTGCTCTCAATCTAGAGAGATTAAAGAGCTTTCCATCTGATCTAGTCTGGAGATAGACACCTTCTGTTGCAGTTCCAAAGGCGTGCTTCAGCATGATAGGAAAAAAGATCCCAAACAGGGTTGGCACAAGGACACAGCCCTGTTTCTCTTTCCTTCGGATGTCAAAGGTATCTGATGTTGAGCCATCAAAAACTACAGTGTCCTTCATTTCCTCATGAAAGGACCTGATGATGTTAAGGAGTCGAGGTAGACATCCAGTCTTGGGAAGAATTTTTAAAAGGCCGTCCCTGCTAACCAAATCAAAGGCCTTTGTAAAATCTATGAAGATCATAAAGAGTAGCTGTCATTGCTCCCTACATTTCTCCTGCAATTGTCTGAGGGGAAATACCATGTCAGTGGTGCATCTATTAGCTTGAAATCCCCACTGTGATTCTGGATACACTCTGTCTGGAAGCACCTGGAGTATCTCCAGTACAACACGGGCAGGCAGCTTCAATACAACACTGAGAAGAGAGATGTCAAGCTAGTTATTGAAGTTGCCCCTGTCTCCTTTGTTCCTATACAATGTGACGATGTTTGTATCCTTCATGTTCTGTGGTACTCCACCTTCCCTCCAGCAAAGACAAAATATTTCGTACAGTTCGGTGGTGATGATCAGTTTACAGCACTTATGTTATCCTTTCCCTGCGCCTTGCCAGAGGCGAGGAAATCCAAGGCCACTTTTATTTCTGCTAAAGTTGGTTCGTTGTCCAACTCTCCCAATACAGGCAGGCACTCAGTGTTATTGAATGCCTATTCGGTTACTACATTCTCTCTGGAATATAGCTCAGAGTAGTGCTGCACCCAGCGTTCCATCTGCTGTGCTTGGCCTTGGATGATCACGCCTGTAGCAGACTTCAAAGTAGCAGATTTCTACTGTATTGGACCTAAAGCCTGCTTGATACGATCATACATTCCCTTGATGTTTCCTGTGTCTGCTGCTATCTGTATCTGAGAGCAGAGCTGAAGCCAATAATTATTAGAACATCTCCTTGCAACCCATTGGACTTTGCTACGAGTACTCAAAGAGGCTGCAAGTTCTACTCACTAGGACAGGCTTTGTATGCTGCTAGAGCTCTCCTCTTTTCCTTGATGGTTGGCATCAACCCCTCCAAATGGGCTTTGAACCAATCTGCTGTCTTTTTTGTCTTCTTGCCAAATGTGGACAAGCCGGTGTTATAAACAGTGATGGAAATGTTCCCATTGTTCAGGTGCATTTGCATCAGCTGGGCCTGGAAGGGTTACCTCAAGCGCTTTTGCAAATTCCTCCACTTTTCTTTGCTGATGTTAATACGTGGTCTTACTTCCTTTTTCATGTGATACAATCTCTTTGTTTGCAGTTTTACTCTACTACACACCAGGGAGTAATCAGTATCGCAATTAGCACCCTGATAACTGTGTGTGATCGTAATACTAGGAAGCCTAGAGCATCTAGTTAGGATCAAATTGAGCTGATGCCAATGCTTCGATCTTGGTTGTCTCCAGGAAACTCTGTTGAAGCTTCAGATTAAAGAACGTGTTGTTTGCACAAGGACCATAGTAACAGCAAAACTCCAGCAGGCGCTGGCCATTTTCGTTCATCTTCCCAATGCCAAAACGGCCTAGACATGTGGGCCAAGAGTTGTGATCAGCACCAACTCTAGCGTTAAGGTCTCAGAGAATGAACAGCGGCTCTCTCTCAGGAATTTTTTTGGTGGTAGCTGCCAGATCGTCACAGAATTTGTTTTTGACTTCTGTTGTAGACGACAGTGTTGGTGCATATGCACTAATGAGGGTGACCAGTCCCACCGTTGAGTGGAGCTTTCACTCCCTGTGAGGCGACGAGCCACCTCGCCCAGGATCAGGAGAGTGTACCGTCAGACTCTCAAATAAAGACAGAAGCACAAGAGACAGGAGTGATAGAAAAGGGATTAAGTAAACTAGAAATAAAAGAAGAGGCTGAATGGGGTGCAAATCAGGCGGGAAAGGAGGAGGATAAGAAGGAGAGGAGCGGCAGAAGCATGTTGGGGAAGAGAGGAGAAAGGACAGGTAAAGGAAGAGCTAGTAGAGCTGATCCAGGAAGATCCTTGGACAAGAGAGAAGGCAGAGTTCAAGGTGCCTCGTGAGTAAGCTGAAAGGGAATGGAGATGACAGATGTATAGAAAGCCACCATACTGAAGCGTGAAAGCAAAGGAAGGAATATAGGGTGTGGGTGAAGAGGGAAGAACAAAGGAGAGAAAGGCAAAAATGTACAGTGATTCCAGAGAAGTCTGGTGGGCCCAGCCCCTTCCGACCCCGACAGAGAAAGATATATGGCTCGACAAAGGGGGAACAGCAGGGAACTATGATGTCTCATCCACAAACTTGAAGTGGGCGGAGAACACACCAGAGTGGATGGGTGCCAGACCCAAATGGCCCCAAGACATTAACAGTTATTTCCCCGTTGTCTTACCACGAAGAGATACCCAGTTTTAATAATGTTAAGACTTATGATTTGTTGTTGAAGTTGGACGATGACAAACAAGACTCAAAAATTGAAGCCATTTTAACAATAAATCGGTTTTATTAGAAAAATTGGGTGTGGCAAATTCTTCTTTGGACAAAGTAAAGAAAAAGGAGGTGGATTTCAAGCGGCATGATTACACTCCCCACAGTAGGTAGAACAATGGATCTCAGCAGAGTATTTCTGACTGCAAAGCCAACACCATATTCCCTGGTCTCATTCAATGGCTTGTGATAGGGGCAGCTGGATTCTGGTGCAAAAAGAAAAAGATGTTTCCCAGCTCTGCGCTGTAGACACAGCATAGAAACTGCAAAGCACAAACCTGCCCTGTACATTTCAAAACATGGTCAACTATAAAGTGTTTTAAGACTAAAGAGCTTTTGGTTGTGGTGGCACAGTATACTGTAAGCATCCGCCAGCATGTGTCTGGGTTGGACATGCTGGGAACCTTCCTTCTTCAAAGGGGGCAAGGAGTTTCTTTTTGACATTACATGTCCCAGCAGTTAACTGTCCTTCCCTTTTAATCTGTTTTCACCAACTTAAACGCGCCCCTGTGCACTGATCCTGGGTTTAGAAAGCGGGCGGGACCAACTCCCGGCCTAGCCCTTGTCCGGGCAAATCCCCGCCCCTGGCCAGAGGGGCCAAAGGGCCACCACAGCCGGAGGAGCCGCGGGCGGGAGCGATGAGCGGGGCAAGCTGGCTGTGCGGGTCTCGGGAGGAGGATCCGGCTGCCAAGCTGTGGGTGAGTGACGGGGAGCGCCAGGGGCCCGCCACTTGTGCGCTTACCGGGGCGTAAGCGACCCTGACCACAATGGGTTTTCCTTCCGAGCTGAAGCTGCAAAGAGGAGGGTGCCGTCAGCTGAAAATGGGCTTGCAGTAAAAGAGGGAACGGGACCTCTGCTCGCCTGCGCGGCGCCGCGAAACGGAAAGGAGACCCCGGCAGAGTCGGCCTGAAAAAGGCAGCAGTAAGAGCCGGGGGGGGGGGGTGTGGGGGTGGGAGGTCTTGCGTTCCCGTCCCTCTTGAAAAACAGAATAAAACTCCCCCTTTGACTCGGAGTTGCTGGCTCCTCACCTAGATCATCCGTTCTGAAATGGAGGCTCGAAACGTGTGTTGGTGTGTTTTTGCTTTACACCAGCGCCTGCCCAGGGAAGGAAGGGGCCCTGCTGGCCTTTTTCTCTCCGCCGAGGGCGCTGAAGGAACTTTGGACTTTGGCGGCAACTGGGGGGGAAAAAGCCGGAGTGCTGGCTTCTCTCGTCGGCTGCCGCCCCAAACGTTTAGGCTCTTAATAGTTGTAAATATGAATGGAGACGCTAAAACTCATTATGTAAAGGTGCTCGTTTTAGAACGTTCACATAGATCAGTTTGTGTCTAAATTAGTTGTTTGGGTTATACCTCACAGACTCCCCCCTTCCACGTAACTGGCTCAGGGATTCTGGGAATTGTAGTCCATGTAGTACTGTTCATTGAGATAAATCTCCCAGAAACTACAGCCAATATAGTCAATGTTAAAGGATTGTGGGAGTTGTAGTCGAAAACATCTGGAGTTCCAGGGGTTCGCCTCCCCATTCTGGAGCCATTTGCAGCATTTTGATTTTGGCTGTTTGCACGCTACCCTGAAAAGCTTCATCTCTATGGGCTGGAGCCACACTTAAGGGGAACTTCATTGGCCATTTTACCCCACAGTTTACATTGGACTGGGCACAGGTGAATTCAGATTAAAATCTTGAGTGACTACACAACATAAAGCTTGTTGCGGGAAGCCTGCTGTGGAATTGTCACTTCAGTGGGGAATCATCATGTTTGTTCAGCTGGCAGGCATGGTTTAAATTTGTTTCGACTGGTTTGACATTGCCTTGGTCCACTTTCTGCCAGAGTGATCACCTGATCCAACCTAAAGTGGTGCTTGGTAGGTTTCAGCTCAGTGCTGGAATGGAGTTTTGCTACGGCATACATAAAAAGAGAGGAGTGGAATCTGCCAACTAGCACCTTGTTAGTCCCTTAAGGCAGATTCTTCTATTGGAGCTCTATGCCAACTGGGAGTAATGAGGCACCCCAAGGCTCAGTATTTTTATAAATGACCTGGATGAGGGAGTGCAGGGAATGCTTGTCAAATCTGCAGATGTTACCAAATTGGGTGGAATAGCTACTACCCTAAAAGACAGAAACAAAATTCAAAATGCCTTGATAGGATGCAGCACTAGGCCGAAAGCAACAGAATGAAATTCAGAAGTACTGCACCTTGAAAAAGAAACAAATCGTACAGTTACAAGATGGGGAATACCTGGCTCAGTAAAACTACTAGTGAGAAGGAGCTTGGAATCGTTGTGGATCACAAGCTAAATATGAGCCAAGAGTGTGATGTGGCTACAAAAAAGGCTAATGCTATTTTAGGCTGCATTAACAGAAGTATAGCTTCCAAATCCCGCAAGGTGCTAGACCCCCTCTATACAGCACTGGTTGACTATTGTCAACACCTTGACTATTGTGTCCAGTTCTGGATACCACACTTCAAGAAGGATGCTAACAAATTGGAACAGGTTCAGAGGAGGGCAACAAGGATGATCAGGGAGCTGGAAACCAAGCCTTATGAGGAAAAGCTGAAAGAACTGGACATGTTTAGCCTTGAGAAAAGAAGGTTGAGGAGTGATATGATAGCACTTTTCAAATATTTGAAAGGCTGTCATACAAAGAAGGGACAAGATCTGTTCTCAATCATCCCAGAGGGCAGGACACATAACAATGGGCTCAAGCTAAACGAAGCCAGATTTTGGTTGAATATCAGGAAAAACTTCTTAACTGTTAGAGCAATACGACAGTAGAACCGGTTGCCTTGGGAGTTGGTGAGTGCTCCAACACTGGAGGCATTCAAGAAAAAGTTAAATAATCAGCTGGCAGATATGCTTTGATTGTATTCCTGCATTGAGCAGGGGATTGGACTTGATGGCCTTGTTAGGCATCTTCCAGCTTCACTTTTCTATGAAACCAAGCTGTCACCTGGGCCTCCTGACACCTCTAAATCAATGTCCAGATAGCTACCATAATTTTACCTTGGGAAACCTGATTTGATAAATTGCAAATATATAGCAGATAAAACCATGTTTTCTCTGCTGTGTTGATACTTAGTTGACTACTGGGTTAAGGCTACTTTAAGTCCCATCAAAAGGAGTCAGGTCACCCTCTCACCAGAAACTCCATTCAGCTTGGGAGATATTTGTGCATTGAGGGAGTTGTAGTCCAAACAGGGGTCCAAAGACTAACCTGTCTAAGTGCACTAGCTTGAGACTAGAAGTGAGCACATGACGAATTCTGGGAAATGTAGTCCATGAAGATACATCTGCATCATTTTTAAGGGTGCAGTTGAACAAAAAATGTGCAATTGCAGAGAAAGGGTATGGAGCTGAAAACTGAAAGATGAAATGGGAAAAATAAGACAGTATCTGTTTATTAAGAACTTAAATTATAGTTAGTGTCACATGACTAAATTTATTTAGCAAGTGTTTCTCACTTGATTTGGGCAGTCCACCTGTCCAACTCATATTTAAGCAACTTCTTTTTGGCTGGAACCTCCTCTTCTTCACCTTCATTGAGGGTCTGCAATTATCATCATTTCCCTATAAATACAACGTAATGTGTTGCAGAACTTTAATATTCACGGCCTTATCTTGTTTGCTTCAGGACTGGAACCAGACATGGCATACCGACACCCCAAGTTTTACTTCATGTTTCCGAAGTACTATACTGGTCTGGATTCCTTGTATCTACCTTTGGAGCTCTTTCCCTTTTTATCACCTTTCCCTTCAGAAAAGCTCGAGTCTATATAAGGATGTCTGCTATCTTCAAAGCAAAAATGGTAAGCAGTGCTCCCTAGTACCTAAAGTTATTGTTTGGGCTATAACGGGCCGTGCTGGGTGGTGAATTCTGGCAGTTGCTGTCCAAAAACAACTTCTTCAGGCTGTAAATAAGAACAGTATGTGGCTGTCAGTGGTGGCCCAAGCATGGGTGGTGTGTTCAGGTGGCTTGTGCATTGTACCTCTGTCAGGCTGGTGGCCTAAGGCACCTTCCCTACCCTTGGACCTTGAGCTGCCTGTGATGTGTGTCCTGTGACTTCCTTTGCCACATTTTATTTATTTATAAATAAATAATATTTTCAGTTGTGTGTCCCATTGACCAAGTGATTTTCCATGTTTCCAGGTCCTTGGCATCACCTTCATAGTGTTATATTTCTCAAGCACAATCTATGTTCTCTGGGAAGCAAACCAAGGGATTCCACGCGCCCCAGGGCTCATCATCAGTCCTGGGTTACAAGGGGCCACAATGGTAATTACTGCACAATGTGTGTGTGTGTGTGTGTGTGTGTGTGTGTGTGTGTGTGTGTGAGTGTGAGTGTGAGTGTGAGTGTGAGTGTGAGTGTGAGTGTGTGCCTGCACAGTTTCTCTGTGTGTGTGTTTTAAATCATTTATTGATTCAGTTGCTTCTTGTTGTTCTTTAGAATTGTCAGTACATGAAACAGTGTCAGGTCCGTTTAGCCAGATAAAGAGATGACTAGGGAGTGGCTGGGGACATGGTCACATCTTTCAGATAACGAACTGGCCCTCCTCTTAAGGAAAGGTGAGGAGCCTGTTCAGATGGGAGAGCACAAGGGGGAGCAAATTTTGGGTGCATCCTGCTAGAAGACTTCCCTTCACTACTTCGGACCATTTGGCTGTGGGTGCAGCAAACATCACAGCCTGGCAGACTCTCCAAAGAAGGAGGGTAATGGCTCAGGAGGGCCATAATCCAGCCATTTTGAACAACAGTAACATCCTTGGAGCAATGGATTAATGTGTTAAATGCCAGTGAATACACACAAATGTATACTGGAGCAACGTTTGTGATGAGATGTGTTTTTATGGGTAAACAATAAGTAACGTTAACTTATTGTTTCAACCCTTTGAAACTCAACATGATTACTTCAGTATGCTTCTGCCTTTGTATGGGAATGATATCCACATTTCTTTCTAAGAATTACGAAAACTTGTGTTTACTAGAGGAAAACAATTGTTAGTATTAATGTATACTGGAGCAACGTTTGTGATGAGATGTGTTTTTATGGGTAAACAATAAGTAACGTTAACTTATTGTTTCAACCCTTTGAAACTCAACATGATTACTTCAGTATGCTTCTGCCTTTGTATGGGAATGATATCCACATTTCTTTCTAAGAATTACGAAAACTTGTGTTTACTAGAAGAAAACAATTGTTAGTATTCCACAAATAAGTTTGTGCTGGGTAGGTGGGGCTCGTCCCCCTTGGAAGGCAGCCCATCTAGGAGAAAAGAACTCCGATTTCAAAACTCCATTGCCTTGTGGCTATATCCAGTCATGGAAAAGTCTTCAGGAGTTAACCTCAAGGCAAAATCCGGAGGCGGAGTCCCGGAGGCAGTTCGTGTTGTTCTGGGAACTCCAATGTCACTGGAACCAGTTGTATTGGCTCTTGCCTTTCCATTGGATTATTTCAGCAATGTGGAGAGGGGGAATTTGCTGCTTGGGTAACAGCCTATCCTCCATATTATTTTACCCAGGATTCATGCTCTGGAGAGGACATGCCAGCTTTGCATACAGCGTTGAAGCAAAATCAGGGAGCTGGACAAGGGACAGATTGTATTTGTCTTCAGTGTGAAAGTGATTGTCATTCTCAATTTGGCCTTTTCAGCCACACTAGATGCTGTTCCAAGTCCTACATACAGAGCACGTTACCATAGTCTCTCGAGACTGAAGGATGCCTACACACAATTGTGATAGGAAAGGTGACAGAAGTCCTAATTCTAACTAATTGGCCTAAGGTTAGGAGAGCAGATTTCGGTTGAATGTTATGAAATAGAGAATTGGTTGTGTATGGAATCGAGTATCCCGAAAAGTGGGGAGGGCTCTTCATCATTCAGGGCTTTAAGCAGGAGTTCAAAAGACATATGTGATTATTACTCTTGCTCTGGATTTCCTGTATGAAGCAGGAATTTGACAAGATACTGTAGTGTACTAGACAGTTTCCAACTCTACCATTTTGTTCTGTCATTCTGATCAGAACTTGGGTCCGTGGGCATATTTTCTGGAGAATTCTGGGAGCTGTAGAACAAAGAAAAACAAAGTTTCTAAGCTCCAGTTCTAAGTAGGTACGATGTAAATAATTTGTGATAAGCAATTCCCGAATTTTGTTTGTTTGCTAAATTTTGATTGTTAGCAGCTCTACTTTCCTGCTGCAACAGTGTTCTAACTTCAGGACCCATTGCTGAATGTGCTTTCTTATTCCTCAGTCTGCAAGCTGCTACTTACTGAGACCATGATTTATAATTTTTTCCATCTTTCTCCCTTCTTAGACCCTGGTTCTATTTCTAACCCAGAAGGAACGACTGAAAGGCATCCAGTCTTCTGGCATTTTGCTCCTATACTGGTTGCTCTCTTTTCTCTCCACTGCCATCAACTTTGGTTCTAATATACAACATATTCTGGAAGGTGTAAGTCAAGGTGGTTAATTACATCATGCAATTTTTATCAGTGCCTCTGTGCTAAAATCATTAACTCACTGAGATGGGTTCCTATCAGAGGATCCTGGAAATTGTCACTTAAAATAAATGAAAATACATACCAGTGCAATCCTATGCACATCTGCTCAGAAGTAATTTTAATTTAGGGTTTTTACTTTTAAATGAAATATCACAGAGATGTATAAATAAATTTAGGATCTCTTTAGAGCAGTGGTCCCCAACCTTGGGCCTCCAGATGTTCTTGGACTACAAGTCCCAGAAGCCTACACCACCACTTCTGCTGGCCAGGATTTCTGGGAGTTGAAGTCCAAGAACACCTGGAGGCCCAAGGTTGGGGACCACTGCTTTAGAGGACTCAAGGAAAGAAATGGTTCAATATATTTTATAGTAATCAGGCAACATTCAGGAGATTGTAAACCAAACCAACCCTACTCTGTGGCAGCTCTGTCTCCTGTAGAAATTTTTACAATTGAACGTAACATCAAACATAGGTCATAAGTTACTGCACATAAGATGTAGCCACACACCCAAACCTCATATAGACCCAATGAATGTTTTGAATATTTTACTTGTAAGCTTGGTATTTCATCCAGTACTGTACTGTATTTCATTTTTTCCACATGTCTGATGAAGTGGACTTGTCCATAAGAGCTCACATTAAAATATAATAGTAAATCTTTAAGTTTTTGTATTGTTCTATTTTGGTTTGTCTTTTTTTTTTTTTTTTGCCTTATATGCTTGCACAGACTAACCCTGAAACTACAACTATGGTATGGGATTATAACCCTGCAAATTGATAGGAATACTTTATTGTGAAATAACACCTCATTGTGTGTGTCATATATTGTTTTTCACATACAAATATTTTTAAAACAAAAGATCAATAACATCAGTAATATATCAATAATTCAATCTGCTGAGATTATAGAGCATGCTACCATGTTTCCCCGAAAATAAGACAGAGTCTTATATTAATTTTTGCTCCAAAAAACGTAGTAGGGCTTATTTTCAGGGGTGTCTCTCTTTTACGTCCGGCAATCTACATTTATTCAAATACAGTCCTGTCGCCTTCTTCTGGTTGCTGCATAAGGGTGGAGGCCAGCCTTCACTCAACTGGGGCTTATTTTTGGGGTAGGGCTTACAGTATATTGCGAGTATCCTGAAAAAATCATACTAGTGTTTATTCTCAGCTTAGGTCTTATTTTCGGGGAAACAGCAGAAACAGTTGGAAAGGATACTTTTTTAAAAAATAGCATTCCCCAACAAGGGGAAATTCTGGCATTCTGGGAACTGTAGTCCCCAAACCCCACTTCTCTCTCAGGGCAATAATAATAAGTTCATGCTATTAGGCTGATTCTGATTTACAGCAGCCCTTTCCAGGATTATCCAGGTAGGGAATATTCAGAGGTGGTTTATCATTCCCTTTTTCTTGGGGTGCCCTGGGACTGTGCAGCTTATCAAGGGCTGGGTCACCTCCTAAAAGGAACAATGGCAAATTAAACTCTTGACTGACGTACCCAATTTACTGAGCTATAATATAAAAAGCTAAAGACTTGTTTGATATTTTTTAAAGCCTTTCACCAGCCACTTGATGACATTTTGATCACAGAAGAGAAGCCACACTCACAATGACGATGACGGAATTCAAGCAATTGTGCTCTGTTGCTTTGCAATCTGTCTTAAAAGATGGCATGCTCCTTTCATTCTGAAGCACTCCTATTTTATTTTATTTTTTTGCAACCTCATGCATGCATAAAATTTGTTAATCAGTGGGTGAGCCAGTGTGGTGAAATGGATAGAATTCTGGACTAGGACTCAGGAGGACTGCGTTCAAATCCCCACTCAATCATGGAAACTCAATTGAGGGGTGGCAATGGTAAGCCACTCCTGGAACATCTCACATGTTTAAAAACCTTGTTAGGATCATCATAGGTCAAACATGACTTGACAGCACCTAATTTGAAGCTGCAAAGAAATGGTCTTTTAGATATATTTCTGATGGCCGCTGACTCTTTATTTTCTGCAGCCCTTCAAACAAGATCTCTTCCACCATGTCACCGCATACATTTATTTCCCCTTGGTCTTGCTGGAACTCATGTTGTGCTGCGTTGTAGACCAGCCTCCCTTCTTCTCTAAAATTGAGAATGACAATGTAAGCATTTAACCCTTTTCTTTTAGATAATTGCCATGTTTTTATTAACAAGATTCTAGCATTATTTTCTTTCAAGTTTCAGATACTTTATTGCTCCTGGGAAGAGAGTGGATATGCTCTTTTTCTTTAAAAAAAAGAACAAAAACACCTAAAAAGTGGAAACTGAAAGTATGAATATGTTATGGCTTGTTTGTTTTTTTCAAATGCCTAAGTTGGCGTATCAGGTGTGGGCACCTGTTGCCTTCCAGACATTGTTAGACTGAAACTTCCATGAGCACTAGGCAGTGTAGGCAATTATGACCTATGCTGGGAAATAACAGTCCAACAGCATCTGGAAGACCACACTTGACCAGCCTTGACACATACAATTTTTTTTAAAAAAATAGCTGATTATGGCTTTTTGTATTGGATGGCAATAAATTTCTAAATGGAGCTCTCTCATAAGACTGACGTGTTCACCAGCATCAGCATGGCATCTACCACATTTGGGTAAATTATATGAGAAGTGTGTTAATAAGAGGTAGTCAAATGTGCAAATTAGCTCATGGATAATTTTGCAAGTGGAATAAACTTACACTTATGACCAGCATCATATATAAATATCTGAAGTTACCATTGGTCCTTCTAGATTGGCGCTAGTCTCCATAGTTTTTGGGGGGTGGGTGGGGGGAGGGCTCTTTTCCCTACCCTATGCAGAGATGCAACTGAACATAGGATTTTCTGCATGTAAGCATCGAACAATACCAATTAATTATGGCCCTTTCCCTTTATATTTAAATCTAGTCATGAATATACAGGTGGGCCAAATTTAATCGATCACAAGCTGAATATGAGCCAATAGTGGGATGTGGCTGCAAAAAAGGACAGTGCTATTCTAGGCTACATTAACAGAAGTATAGTCTCCAAATCCTGTGAAGAACTAGTTTCACAAGCCCATGCAGTACTAGTTCCCTTTATTTGGCACTACGCTTTAAAGACGGATGATGACAAACTGGAAGAAGTTCAGAAGAGGGCAACAAGAATGATTAGGGGATTTGAAACCAAGCTCTATGAGGAAAGGCTAAAACAACTCGGCATGTTTAGCCTCGAGAAAAGAAGACTGAGGGGGGATATGATAGCACTTTCCAAATACTTGAAAGGTACAGAGGAGGGGCAGGATCTGTTTTCAATCATCCCAGAGTGCAGGACACAAAATAATATGCTCAAGTTAAAGGAAGCTTGATTTCAGCTGAAAATAAAGAAAAAATGTCTTAACTGTTAGAGCAGTATGACAATGGAACCACTTATCTTAGGAGATGGTGAGCACTCCAGTGCTGAAGGCATTCAAGAGAAAATTGAGCAACCATTTGTCAGATCTGCTTTGATTTGGCGTCCGGCATTGAGCAAGGGGGTGGACTTGATGGCTTTACAGGCCCCCTTCCAACTCTATGATTCTATGGTTATTGTGATGGTAGAAGGCACATATTCATCACATGTCCTGCTTTTCCTTCAGGAGGCTCAAGGACACAGCTAGTGTGATGCTTGGTGAGACTAGGGCTTAAGTGATGCAGGTTTTAGACCCCTCTAAGCTGTGACTCTGAATGAGCTTGGGACAGTCATGCTTCCTCACAGGTTTTAGGCCAGAAGTGGAGAGGATGATACTCATGACATCATCTTGAATCCACTGGAGAAAATACTGTACATACTATAAATAAAACTAATAAGTACTGTAAATAAAATGAGTTTTCCTCCACATCCCATTTTATCCTAATGTATTGACCTGAGCATATAGCATTCATATTTTATATATATATAAAACACACAGAGACAGACAAATATATGTGTGTACATTTTCACAAACCTTAGATGTATTCTGCTTTTCAAACTCTTGCAGAACCCGTGTCCTGAATCCAGGGCTTCTTTCATTTCCAAAGTCACATTTTGGTGGTTTGTGAGGTAAGAAAATAAGCCATGCTATGTTCTTAAGTAGCAGACAGCTAATGGCCAGTCCAATTAAGCAATTCAGTCATCCTCTTGTTTCTAAGTTATCTTCATCTAGTTTTGCTGAAATGTTGTAGCGTTCCAAGAATGTATTGTCTTGGATTGCATTCTGCTGTCAGTTTGGGCTTCTCCAAGCTTAGCCTTGGGGGCGGCAGCGGGGGGGGATGTCAAAATCAGTTGAAGCTGAGGTTACTGCTAGGTACTCCCTTTTATGTTTTGCACTTGTCCTAGCTCATTCATTAATCTGCCTGAAGGTCCTTCCACTTACACGTTCTCCTTTACAGGTGTGTATTCACATTTGGAAAAAAATATTATTGTTTAAAAAGAAATACAGTTCATCTTACCATAGTAAGGAGATACAGGTTTGCCAGCTGTCCTCTATCCAGGGGCTAACTGTGGATGGAGCACGTCAAGGCCCCAAGGGTCTTTCATCCTGGAATGGATATATTTGAATGGGATTTGGCTTTCCATAAGGAAAAACAGTTTTCAGTCTTTGCCCTTCAAACAGTTGGGACCTTAGTTCCCCAATGCCCAGTCACTGAGTTTACTGACTAGGGCATATGGGAACTGGTATCCAAAAGATCTGGATGACCAAAAGATGAGAATTGAAACAGAGGCATGTTCTCTGATGGCTCATTAAACAAAGTATAGGTAGGAAACCTTCCTGATACTTTGGACACCAGTTCCTACAGCCCTTTTTACCACAACAATGATGGGAGGAGATGATGGGAATTGAAGTCTGATAGGCCAAGAGTCCCAAACCCATGAAAGAGAAGATGCCTTCAAATAGAAGACTGTCTGTGGTAAAGTAGAGCAATTTAGTTAGCTGCTTGCTCATCCAATCCACCTCTCTAGGATACTGGGCAGAGTATTAACACTCTTAATATCCAAGCTACAGGGACTGAAGCTAGCCTTACCTCCAAGCTGTGGGACTTCTGTTTTCCAAGCAGTAATTTACCATTTTGGCACCCATCACAAGATATACCACCTCCAATCCACTCTACTCTGAGGCTTGGGTTTGGGCCTTCTGTGAAAAAGGAGAAGCATATGATCCCCCCCCCCCAAAGAAAGACCATGCTTTCAAAATAAGGAAAGTGTACCAAAAGGAATTGCTATTTATTTTTTAAACATTCAGCAGTAGAGTCATCTCTAGATTTTGATGCCTTCTAAAATTTGGTGCCCTGCGCCACCCCAACAATAGCTCTGCTGATTTCTCTAGGCTCCCTTTCTCAACCACATCTATGGACATAAAACACAGCGGGTGACACAGTGAGGAGTGAGATAAAGGACACCCAAGACTGGTGCTAGACATAGTATTTTTGAGGAGAAATGGCAAGACATGTGTCATTTATTTACTTTTCTGAAGTTTGGTTGATCCAGGATGGCCCTAGACCTTTCTCTGTGGAGAAATAGTAAGACATATATCTTGAAGGGTTTTTTAGATGTAGTTTTTATTCTTACTACTTTGTCAGGTACAATATCCAAAGCCAGAAAAGTTACGTGCTTCAGAGCAATTCTCTCCTTTTTTAAAATTACAAGTGCCAGAATCCCTTAGCTAGTATGAGCCCCCCAAAAAACACTTTTGGCATTGTCTATGAAGCAGAAAATCTCAGGAGTACCTTTCTTCTTCCCTAGCAATTAAAGAACTCTAGTCAGAGCCCTACTGCGTTTTTTTCTGAATAAAGAAGCAAAGTCACAGATGTTGCAGTGGCTCCCTAGGACTGATGAACAAGGTGCCAGTTGTACAACAAGCATGAGACTGGCGTCACATTAACCACCCACCACTTGCTGCTACAGGGGAAAAAAATAAGATTCTAGTCAATAGGAATACTTATCAGAATACCAATCCATGAAATAACTGATGATTCCCTTTTGGCACACCCACATGCCAAGTGTCTGAGGCAATTGCATTACACTATCACCTGGGTCTACATCTGGTGATAACTAGTCTCCCTCAGCCAACTATGTAGCTCAAATATTAACATTCCTGAAGTCTGCTCCTTCCCTTGCATTGCCATTGATGCCATTGTTTTACAGGCTGATGTGGAAAGGATATTGGAAACCACTACGAACAGAAGACCTCTGGTCACTAGCAAGAGAGAACTCTTCTGAAGAGATTGTAACCCAGATTGAAGCTGCATGGAAGAAGAATCACATAAGGTTTCTGCCTGAGCAGTGAGTCTTTATATATGTTAAACCAGCTAATTGGAGGTGAACAAGATACTAATCTTTCTTCTTTCCAGAACAGCCAGATGCTTCTTTTGAAGCATCTGGTTGACTAGCCCTGAACAATCAAATGATGTAATGAGAGTGTGATTGCACAATAAGAGAAATGCAAATTTACTCAATGTGAAGTTATACCAGAGAGTTCAGGTTTCCCCAGGTCTGTTTGAATTAACTGGAGAGAAGAGGAAAGACTTATTTGCAGCTTGTTGACATAGCTCTGTTGTAGCCCAGCAGGAGGCACAACTACAAAAGGAAAGCTCTAAACAAAGGCAGAGTGCTGATTTACTTCTCTTCTTTCCTTTTCTCTCTTCCTTTTTTGGTACATGTTTTAACTGTTCTTTTTTTTGTTTGTTTTAATGGTATTATTTTCAAACATCTTTCCCCCCGTCAAGATTATAGCCAGGACAGAGAGGTACACACAAATCACTTAGCCACACTACCCTGACGTTTCTGGTGTGGGTAATTACCAGGGGGCTCAATATGTTGATGACTGGGGAAAATCTTTCTGTCTGGCCCCTTCCCAACATTCTGGGCCACTCTGACTCCCAAGTATTCCAGGGAATACAAAACTCTCAAGGTCACACATTATAACTTGCATGGCAACCTTGCCAGGTAGGAAGACTAAAAATAAACACAAATGTAAAGAGATCCAGTAAATGCCTGAGGCAAGCCATGAATTAAATACCAACAAAGCCTTCTATGGTTGTTGTGGGTTTTTCAGGCTGTTTGGCCATGTTCTGGGTTTTTTTTCCCTTCCAAACGTTTTGCCAGGCTCTTCTGTTGAGAACAAAAACCCTGATCCCACAGCTACAAATACTCAACAATCACACACTACACCATAACATAGACAGAATTCTAGTTCCTGTCCTCTGAAGATGAAATGTTAGGAAGAAAAATCTCCAGAACATGGCCAAACAGCCCAAAAACCCCACAGAAACCATTGGATACTGGCCGAGAAAGAAAGCCTTCAAGAAAACCTTCTATTCCTAAAATAATCACCCTGCTGTGAACATTTTATTGTTTTACTGATTATGTTGCAAAAAGTCAGAAATAAAATAATTCAAAGCAGTTTCAAAACTTAGCTCAAAAAGTTCAAAATCAATAAAAAATTTGTGAAGCTAATGCACATTCAAACAGATTTGAGGCCAAGGTGAAGCTAATGCACATTCAAACAGATTTGAGACCAAGGTAATTCTAGAACACTTCCCAAAGAAAATAATAAAGCTAACTATCCTATACATTCCTGCTGAAATATAGCTAACTATCCTTACATTCCTGCTGAAATATAGCATAATTCTAGAGCATATGCAGAGTGTAGACAAAAGAATATAACTGTCTTCTCAAAGAAGCTAAGGTAAAGTTACTTTTAAATACAGTTTTCATTCTGTGGATTGCTTCTCTGCAATTCTATGAGTCTTTCTGTAATTTTTATGATTCTATGGCTTTATTCCATTATTTGTATTTACACTGTAATAGTTATGTTGCTCATCAAGCCAAGAAACATGATTGAAGGATGGTAGAAAAACTTTTATAACAGAATTAAAAACTGTTCATGTTATCAATCAGAATTACAGGATCTTTGAAATTCAAAAGAGAGGAAGAAAATGGAGAAGATGCAGATGAAACCACCATTTTGCTACAGCCGGAACACAGTAAAAGCAAGGCATTACTGAAAGCTTTCTGGAGTGTGTTTGGAAATTATTTTCTTTTTGGGAGCCTCTGTTTAGTCATTGGCGATGTCTTCATGTTTATGGTTCCAAAGACACTAAGGTATGTAAACATTTAAAAATAGCTTCCTAGGAGGAAATACCAAATGCATATAGTCAGGGTAACTCCACAGAAGCTTAAGAGTTGCAAGGAATCTTGGAAATCATCTTGTTTACTGTGTCTCAACTGTTGAACCTTCAGATGTTTTGTACTTCTGCTCCCAGAATACCTGACCTGTATTGACTAAGATTTCTGGCAACTAAAAACTAAAGTATCTGAAAGGCTCAGTCTTGATAATTATTATTCTAGTATCACCCTATGCTCAATGCAGACTGCAATTGTAGCAATTCTGACCGAAGCCGATCCAGACTCTGGTGGAGGAGCATCTAACAACCCTTAAACCAGACTCTTGTTGAACAGCACTTACCATTTGGAAGTGTATCGTAATGTTTTGCTGCAAGAAGAACTGCTACATAATTCAGCAGTTTACAGTACATATCTGGCCAGAGGCTGGGAGTTTGATACCCCCTCTTTGTCTCCCTGGCAGGAGCTGGACTGGATGATCCATATGGTCCCTTCCAGATCTGCAGTTCTATGATGATGATTTCTTAGTCGCTTTCAGTGACTGGTTCCCAACTGTCCCTTTGAAGTTGCAGAGAAAAGCTCTGCCTCACTCTCTGGGTGATAGCCATTCAGATGTTTGAAATATATTATTAAGGTGATGATTAATGGAATGGGTCCTTCTCTAACTGGATGGAGGCAAGATCTGTTCTCGATCATCCCAGAGTGCAGGACACGGAACAATGGGCTCAAGTTAAAGAAAGCCAGATTTTGGTTGAATACTGTATCAGGATAAACTTCTTAACTGTTAGAGCAGTACGACAGTGGAACCAGTGACCTCATGAGTTGGTGAGTGCTCCAACACTGGAGGCATTCAAGAAAACCTTGGATAATCACCTGGCAGATATGCTTTGATTGTATTCCTGCATCGAGCAGGGGGTTGGACTTGATGGCCTTATAGGCCCCTTCCAACTTCACTTTTCTATGATTCTGTGTTTTCCCTCAGTCCAGAGGTAGGCAAAGTCTGTGGGGTGCAGGACCACTTATATACTACCTTGGGCATGGGTTGGCTGCAAGCCTTTCTGACACATCTTAACCTTGGGAGGGGGGTTCACAATTTTCCATTTGTAAGTGGTTTCCCTTTCTAAGCCTGTTTTGGAGAAGAAAGATTTTTTTTTTTTAAGATAATAGAAGTGACCAGCCATTTCTGACAGGTCCAGGGAGATTTAAACAGCAAAGTGTGTCCCACAGGCTTCTGGTAGTATAATATGCAATTTGGGTGGATGCAAAATTGCAGTTCAGGAGTTCTGAGGAGCCACATATGGCTGGCGGGTCATACTTTTCCATACCCCTGCCTTAATCCTATCCTATCCTCAGGCTAAATATAATTTGATGTTTCAGTTTTATTTCAAGTAGAGCATAATATGTAGGTTTCCCAGTGTGGTGTAATGAACAGAGTGATGAACCAGAACTCTGGCAAACAGGGTTTGAATCCCTACTCTGTCATGGAAATTCACTGGGGGCGTGTAGAACTATTAAAACTACTCCTTAAACACCTCACTTACCTTGAAAACCCTATTAGGATCACTGTAAGTCAGTTCCAACTTGACAGCACAAAGCAAACACACATAATACAGTGGTGCCCCGCATAGCGACGATAATCTGTTCCGGAAAAATCGTTGCTATACAGATTCATCACTATGCGGAACAAAAAAGCCCATAGGAATGCATTAAAACACGTTTAATGTGTTCCTGTGGCCAAAAAACTCACTGTTATGCGAAAATCCTCCATACGGCCGCCATTTCGCTGCCCGGTAAGCGAGGAAAGGGCGCGAAAACACTGCAGGCGCCCTTTTTTTTTTACCTGGCAGCCATTTTTTAACCACCGATCAGCTGTTAGAAAAAGCATCGCTATGCAAAAATCGGTAAGCGAAACAGCTTACCGATCGTCGCAAAGCAATGTTTTGCCATTTAAAACATCGCAAGGCGATCGCTTTTGCGATTGCAAAAAAGCCATCGCTATGCAGATTCGTTGTTAAACAGGGCGCGCGTTATGCGGGGCACCACTGTATGTAGGTGTACAAATTTTCATACACAGTGCACATGGCAGTAAAGATGGAAACCTAATGAAATGGGAAACACAAAATGATAATTGCATCAGTAACACTGGTACTCAACTTTAAAAATTATAGTGGTGTTATCAATACAAGTAATGAACATTCAGTGTGTTGATTTACATAGACATCTTGACACTGGCTGAGATCCTATTACTTAGTTACAACTAGAGTGGGCCCACTGTATCAGTGGGGAAAAGGTACATTCCCAGTCAGTGGTTTTATGAGAAGCAGCATTTGACAATAATTAGAATGCAGGTTCAGACTCTCATTCAGCCATGACGTTTGCTGTGGCATTTTAGATTAGACACTGTCTCTGTATTTGCCTGTCTTTATGAAGTGGGATCAATCTGGTCCTCTTCTGGTCCCCATCATACTCTCTGAGGTTGTCTAGCATGCTTTACATACTTCCCTGTGATTCCACTGTTTTAATTATTTCCAGGTTTTCTAGTGTTTTCTCTGTGGTAAGAAGCTGAAATGCCTCTTCTAGGGGCTGTTACCATCAGTAAGAGCTTTAGACTCAGATTTGCTAATATTTCTGGTTCCACCCTTTGCCTCTGATCTCACGCAGCATGAATTTCATGATATTTAATTCAACCCATGAGCTCAAAATAGATGGCCTTCCTTGGTTTATCTGCTGTTGTTTACTGGAGTAGCTGTCAGGCAGAGTACACTAGCACACTGCTTGTTCACTGATGAAAAGTTGTCCAAATGTGGACTTCATTCAAGGTGTGCCATTGACTATCTTTCATTCCTCCCTTGTAGTCTTCTCCTAGATTTCATCACTGACCAAGAAGCTCCTGCTTGGAGAGGGTATCTCTGCGCTGTAACGATGTTCCTCTTGGGTTGTCTCCAGACATTGTTTGAACAGCAGTACATGTATATGTGTCTTATTTTGGGACTAAGGTTAAAGACAGCTGTTACTGGCCTTGTTTATCGGAAGGTAAACCATTCTTTTTGAAGATCTCTGCTATATATTTTTCCTTCAGACTCAGTAACACTGAGAATTATATCTGGAAAATTCATACAGACGAAGTCTCAAAAGCTAGATCCCACAATGAAAAATAACTGGTTAATAGGGCCGTGCAGAATATAGAAAAAAGGGTGGCCAAATTGTAACCTTCCAAATGTTATAGAGCTACAACTTCCATCATCACTGGCCAGTATAGCTTAATGGTGCCTGAAGTCCAGGAACATCTGGAGGGTCACCAGTTGTCTACCCCTGCGAGTGACAGAGGTATTAGGAATTAAGTCCTAGGACAAATTATGGGAGTTACAATGAAGCAGGGAGAGAAATCTGGATGAATTCATGCCAGAGGTAACAGTGGAGGGGGAAAAAAGGATAAAATAGAAGGCAAAACCAGGGAAAGATAAGCAGAGAAGCGTTTGGCTGCACGTTTGCTGCAATGGCAGTAAGTGATAAGGCAGCCATCTTGTAAGGGAAGAACGGCCGAAAGGAGGATCTTGGAATGTTGTTGTCTAATCCAGCGGTTCCCAGCCTTCGGTAACCCATGTGTTCTTGGACTACAACTTCCAGAAACCCTAGCCAGCACAGCTGGTAGTGGAGGCATCTAGGAACTGCAGTTCAAGAATATCTGGGTTACCCAAGGTTGGGAGCTACTGGCCTAATCCATGACATTTCTAGAGCTGGAGAATAGGGAGAAGACTGAAAGAGGCCATCAGTTTTGCCTGTGTTGTGGAAAGAATGTCAGGCTGATTCTGTTTGAATCAGGCAGCAAAAAAAGGCCAGTGCTGTACTAAGCTGCATTAATAGAAATATATTGTTCAGGTTGGGGGAAATAACAGTACGTATTATTCTACTCTGCTTTGGTCAGACCTCAGCTGGAATACTGTATCCAGTTCTGGGCATCACAGTTTTAACAGGATAAAAAGGTTGGGAGTCAAGCCCTGTGAAAAAATGGTTGAAGGAACTGGATGTGTATAGCCTAAAGAAGTGAAGACTGAGAGGTGGCGTGATGACCATCTTCAAATATTTGAAGGGCTGTTATAGAAGATTTCCGTCAAAGGTTAGGAGTTGAAGTAATGGCCCCAAATTCTAAGAGAAATCATTTCAAGTAAGCATTAGGCAGAATATCTTGACAATAAGAGCTGTTCAACTGTGGAATGGACTGCCTTGGAGGGTCGTGGACGTCAGCTTAGAAGGGATAGGAACTTTCAGGAAAAAAAGAACTCTGCCCTGTAATTCAATACCACCCACCCATGCAGTCCAAATTACAGGAGCGGGAGCTGTCAAGTAGGAGGAGGAAGATCCCTGTTTCCTGCACATCATTCCTGTACCATTTCTTCATACCTCTGGCGGGCACCCCTGCTGCCCCTTTGTGAGTTGCAAAGGTTCCCTTTGACTTTTGCCAAAGGTGCACTTGACAACTGGGATCCGATAGAGGCGGCCTCGTAGGGAAGGGAGCTTCTCTCCGGACTCATTCTTGCAAGCGCATCCTTGCAAGTCACAGGGAACCTTTGTCACTCCTCGAGACACAGCAGGGGTAGGAGATAAATATTAAAAGAGGAATTGAAAATTTCATCCAAAAAATGCTATTTTGTTGGGAATTCATCACTTTCTATACCCCAAGGAATAGAAAGTGATCAATGTTTAGCGATTTTTAATTCGTTGCCATTTGTACCCCACCCAAACCATCTGCAGCCTGTTCCCAGTCAATTGGGAGTCAATTGGGAGTCTCTAGGCAACCCTGTGAGAGATCTGGAGACACTTGGATTGGTAGGTCAGGCAGCCGAATGCCCTGCTGAAAGGACAGTGGGGGAATTGCTTGCTAAGAGGCTTTCAGCATTTTCCTTTTAGCCATTTTGCTCTCTGCTCAGCTATTTCCTCTGAGTAGTTGCTTCCTGGTGTCTCTGTGCTCTAGTAGCCAGACAGCAGTTGCTGTTTGTAAAGCATTCAAAATTTCATTTCAGTATTTCAAATAGTGGGATTTAAGGAGGGCTTGCTTTAGGTGGCTACATCAGATTTCCATTTATTTTTTGAGGTTAGGATTAGGGTAGGGTGGGTGATCTGTAAGTGTACCCCCCCTTTAAACCCATTTCAAGTTGAAGCAGTATTTCAGCTTGAAATGGGGGGGCTGGGGGGGACTGTGTGATTTTTGGGACAGTTTAACTACTACTCCCTCTGTATTTTAAAAAAGTATGTTTTCCTCCCCAAAATTCAGCAATTAGGTTGGCTCCAGTTCAGGCTTATAGTGGGTGATATGGGATATTTTTTTCGAGTCCTCTTGTTTCACCTTTCTGTTTCTCCCCTCTACGGACCCTCCCTTGTTTTAAAAATACTCTTTTATTACAACTCTCCCTGGGATCTGCCAACTTAATTTCTTCTTTTATTTGGAAGCAAGCCCTCTCCCCTCCCCTCTATCTGGAAATCCGACTGTGTCTGTGCGTTAGGAGTAGGGGTTAGAGCACTGACCGGAACATGCGTGGCCGGCAGGTGGTCTCAAAGGGGAAGAGCCCCCCCCCAGCAGATCGGCCACCACTGTTCCTCCTCTGGTGGTCTTGCAGGTGGAGGCAGAAGCATAGCCACCTGAGGCTGCAGCGGGTCTGGAGTCCTCCCAGTCCTCTGGACCAGGAGTGGCAAGGCAGGTTCCACCACCACCACCACCACCACTCCTCTCCCCAGATCCCTCTCTTCAGTCCTCCTAGACAAGCACCACGCAGTCTTCCCAGGCCAGCAGCAGACAGGGGCAGGCAGTGGAGCCGTCGTCGTGGCAAAGAGGACAGAGGCTCCCTATATTTCACTACTTTCAACGATGACCCACACATGGCATCCTGCAGTGCCTGCATTATGATGGTCTGCAGGGGCTCCAACCCCAAACATCTTTCCTCCATCGCCCTCCACCAGCATCTGGAGAGCCACCACCCAAGGCTTCCATCTGGGGAAGGCTGTTTGTCAACATCTGGGGGAGGAAGAGACCAGCACCAGGGGGAGAAGGTGGGGAGGGAGAGGGAGGCGCTGCCGTTGAAAAAGACTGCCATGGGGGCTCCTGCAGGTGGGAGCTTGAGGCAGGCCATAGACAAAGTTCCCATTGAGGCTGCAGTGACCTTCAGCAGATGGTCCAGGGCCAAAGCACAGGGTTCGGGCACTCGTCACCGAGATAACTGCCCTGCTCGAGCTTCCATTGTGCACTGTCACCACCCCAGCCTTCCACCATTCGCTCCATTTTTTTTTCCTGGTACACCACCCCTCCCGGAGAACCATCAGCCGAAAAGTCCTGTCATCCCTCTATGACTCCATGTGGGGGGTGGTCTGTGACAGCTGTGCCCAGGTGTCATGGGCCCAGGAGCATAATATCCACTTCACAGCCAACCTATGGAGTGGAGGTCACTAGTCTTACCTCCGACTCACACAGCCCACTGGTGGCAGCCAAAGATCCTGAAGAGTGGCAAGGGATCGGCAGCAGGACTGCAGGAAGAGGCACCTGTCCTGCCACCAGGGTAGAGGGCCGTTCGTCTGCAGCTGCGGCACATCTCAGGCGATGGGGAGGAACATCGCTTATGAGTTTCTGGTATTCAAGCCCCTTCAGAATGTCTGTGGTTGTGATGCAAGCCTGGGGCAATTTATCCCCCTTGACAGGGCTCTGCAGTCTGCCCGTTTCAGGGGTCCACTCTACTTTTGTGGCCTTGGCGTAGAGGTTGCCGGCCATTGTGCAGAAGTGACTCCATCCTGCCTGCAGAGACAGGTCTTCATGCTTCGGAGCTGGAGGAGTGGAGAACGGAGCTCTCCAGTGAGGTTTACAGGGTGGTGGGAGTGCCACGCATGTGTGGAAAGCTGGCAATGCAAGGGTGTGAGGAAGATGTGGGGCTCCCAGCAGCCACAGGCAGGGCCTTCTGTTGGCAAGGGCGCCAGCTCACGTTTCTGGAGCTCAGTGGTGAGCTGGGGAGTTGCCCTCCCAGGGAAGGCAGATAGGTGGCAGAAGAGGACTCTGCAGAGGCATGGTGCCAGAGTACCCCAGCCCGCCCCATCAGAACCGCTCCAGTACTGGGTACAAAAGGTGGGCATGGCACTCCACTGTGGCCATGGACCTCCTCTCCATCCTCCCTACCGGTGTCCAGAATGAGCGTGTCTTCTCCTCTCTCGGAGACGTGCGGTGACACCACCACTCCCATCTGCATCCGTTAACCATGGGGAGGCTGTTCATCAATGTGAACCTTGTCTTGTTGGGTTTCCCTTCATGGAAACCAATGAGGTAGGGATCCTATCCCAGCCTTTCTGCATCCTCAACCCACCAAATACAGATCCGCCTCCGTCAGTCCCTTCACCCCCTCGGCTGCCTCTGCCACTCCAGGAAACCAATGCGCCTGCCTGTCTCCCACCTGTGCCACAGATCTGCTTCTCTGCCAGCAACCTGCGCCCTTCAGAGAACAATCCTATCTTTCTACCAGCCACCTCTGACCCCCAGGACAACACACCTACCTCTCTGCTTCTGAAACTTGGGGGAAACAAGCCTGCCTGTATGTCAAGTAACTCTGGATGTCGGAGGAAAATGCCTGCTACTTCACCACCTGTGCAAATTGAAGGAAAATGCCTCTGCCTGCCACTATGCTACCTCTGTGTCAGAGGAAAGTGCCATTAAATATGCCCTCTCTCTGAGCTGGAGGAATCTGCCAGTAAGACACCTACTGTACCCCAGAAGAAGAAGGAAACCAATTTCCCCACCAACCACCCCACTAACCTAGGGGAAGAAGAAACCTGCCCACCAGCCACCCCACTAACCCACAGGAAGAAAGAAATCAGTTTGCCCAGTGGTCATTAACACCGGGAGTCAGAGGAAAATGCCTCTCCCTGCCACTATGCCACCTACGTGTGTCTCCCACCTGTGCAAATTGAAGGAAAATGCCTCTCCCTGCCGCTATGCCACCTATGTCTCTCTCTGCAACCTCATCTCTCTCGTCCCCTTTCCTGGGGATGCCCACTTTGTGGGTGTCTAACTCAAGCATCCAAAACCTAAACTTCACCAAACCTGGAGAGATTGTAGAGGAGAGTCAGCAGATGTGTATCTGTGATTTTGATGTCTCTAGGTGCCTGGAAGGTATTTTCCAGGGGCGGTGCTGTCTTTGTAGGCGTATAACATGGATGTCTGAAACCCAAACTTCACCAAACGTACAACACTTGTAGAGGAGAGTTGGTGGAAGCTTCTCTGTCATTTTGGTGTCCCTAGGTGCCTGAGGGGGGGGGCATTTTACAGGTTTTAAAGGAAAGACAAATTGATTTGTCTGTTGGGAAAAAATAATTGTGTGATTTTTTGACTACAAATCATGATGAGTCATCATTTTTTCCAAGTCATGCCCATCTCTAGTAAGAGGGCTCCTCTACCTTCTGCCTTTCAATGATTCCCAGTCCCATAATTTGGACTGAGGTAATGGTGGTTCCTCCTGAATTATGGAACTGGCAGTTATTTCCCCCCAAAAGTCACATCCCTAGCATTTAATGTTGAATTGTGTTGGGATACTGGGAGTGTTTATTAACAGAGGCCTATTTAATGTTGAGTCATCTCTGGGTGCTAGCTACTGTCTGTTCCAGTCTGTGAATTGTTGGTTTGATTTTCTCTTCTGTAGATCTTAGTCACATCAAACACAGCCAAGAAAGCAACAACAGTTGGTGAAATAGTCAACCTGGTGTCTGTCGATGTGCAAAAACTCATGGATTTCCTTATTTATTTTAATGGGACTTGGCTCGCCCCCATCCGGATTATCATCTGCTTTGTATTTCTTTGGCAGGTAAAAGAAAAGAAAATATAATTCCCATTCCTCTTAAGTAGCAATAGTGATGGAAAAAGAAAGCCGAGGAGTCTCTTTGAACCCAAATGTATTTTATTCCAAGAAGCCTCCTAGATCTTTATCTTCTATTTTAGCCACAGAACTCAGAGTATAAGTATTCTCTCTCTTTTTCACTTACATCCTGCTTTTACTTTGTGTTTTTGGATCTTCTTAGCTTTTGGGAGTATCTGCTCTGACTGCAGTCGTGGTGTTTCTGTTTCTCTTGCCACTGAACTTTTTCATTTCCAAAAAGAGAAGTTGGCTCCAGGTATGTCTTGTTTCCTATGAATAGTCATCCAATTTTAGGATTTAAATACTTTACTTTTATATTCATGTGATATCACTTATTTATCTATACAGTATTGGTACAACAGCCTTCTGCCTGGCAGAAATGACTACAAATCCCACTATCACACTGCCAGCTCTGTCTATGCCGGGCTTCTCCAATCTAGCACTTTACAGATCTGATGTGAGATGTAATTTGTTCCATTCAAAATAGACCAGGTTAGAAAGGGCTCATCTCTTGATGATTAGCAGCAGCTCTCTAGATGTTCAGACAGGCATCTTGCCAAGCCCTGCCCAGAGATACTGCATGCTGAGACATTTTCTCTGCAGAGTCTGGGATTCTAGGAACTGTAGCAAGAAAGTACGTCCTCCAAGAACCTTCTGGTGTTAGGAATTATTGCCGTAGAATGACAGCAGGGTCAGCCTGTTTTCTAAAGCAAAAACAAACTCCACAAAGCTGCATTTTTTTACACCAGCAATGCTGATCGTTTTACAAATTAGGCTCTATTTCCCAGGAAGCTCAGATGAAGCATAAGGACAGTCGTGCAAAGCTCACCAGAGCCATTCTCGCCAACATTAAAAACCTCAAGCTACATGGCTGGGAGAAGAATTTTATGGACACAATGTTAGGAATCCGAACCCAAGAACTGCAAGCTCTCAAGAAGTCTCAGTTTCTCTTCTCTGCATCTCTCACTTCTTTCCACTCGTCTACATTTCTGGTGAGCACTTTTTGACACCCTAAGAGTTGGTTCTTTCTGTATCTACGCCATTCACCTGTTTTCCCATTGTTCCTCTACAGATTTCATTCATCATGTTCGCAGTCTACACGCTGGCAGACAGCAGAAACATCTTGAATGCACAGAAGGCATTTATCTCTCTGGCCCTGGTCAACATACTCAACACAGCTCATTCTTTTCTTCCATTTTCCATCAACGCTGTTATGCAGGTGAGTCTCAGGTTGACTTTTCATATGGCTACACTGCATAACTGTGACGAGGAGTGCCACATATATGTGCTTTTTTTCTAGGCCAAAGTTTCCATAAATCGTTTAGCTGCCTTTCTTTGTCTTGAAGATCTGGAACAGACTAAACTAGACTCTACTCCTTTAGATGGCAGTAAGTACTGTCTATCTGACTTTTTTCTTCACTTTGTGGGACTCTCTTTTAGCAATACAACAGCAACATATTTTTTCACTTTAGCATGAACCAAATCAACTGTCTCTGGTAGTTTAGTAATCTAGTGTTGTGGAAATACATCCCTGATCCTTCAATTCCACTAGATCAATGTATGATCTACAGGCCAGTTACAGTGTAGCCCTCTTGGTCCTGGAGCATCATCACTTTATTTGTGGGTTGCTGTTTTTCTTCTTCAGTTCGGTGTTGTTTTCTCAGTTTGATGGCTGAAGAAGAAAAACAGCAACCCACAAATACGTAAAATATTTCAGCCATACATCAAAGGGGTCACGGACCGAATGGGGAAATATTTGAAAAATACATAACCTACAAACAGTATTCAGGCCCATGATAAAAAACAACAACAAATGTTAGAGTCAGCAAAGGACAAAAGGGACCCCCTCATCACTGCAGGAATATACCGGATACCTTGCAGTTGTGGGCAGGTATATATTGGAACCACAAAGTGCAGCATTCATATCAGAATCAAAGAACATGAGAGACACTGCAGACTAAAACAACCAGAAAAATCGGCAGAAGCTGGACATGAAATTCTGTTTCAAAATGCTGGAGTACTGGACAACACCAGCAATCATTATGTTAGACTGCACAAGGAAGCCATTGAAATCCACAAACACCAGCACTGTAACTTCGACAAAAAAGAAGAAAGTTGAAACAAAGCCTGGCTCCCAGCACTGAAAAATACAGCCTGCAAAAGGTCAAAGCAATCTACCCAGCCACAAGGACCAGTGATCACTGAACACAAAAAACAGCTAACGGCACCCATCAATCACAGTGACAGATCATCATCCAATCTCCTGAAAAGGACAAAAGCTGTTCCCACAGCTAGAAATACTCAACTATCCAACAAATTGCAACAGAGCACAGACAGAGTTCTGACTCCTGTCCTCTGAAGATGCTGGCCACAGAGACTGGTGAAGAACAACCTTCAGAACATGGCCAAAGAGCCTGAAAAACCCACAACAATCATCAGATCCCAGCCATGAAAGCCTTCGCGAATACAATTCAAATCAGCCTTTGCATCATGTGGCCAATAAAAAACCTGTGAATTAACGCATTTTAAAAGTGGAGCAAATCCCACCGTGTTTGACCATGAAGTTGCATCCCAAGTTGGCACTGCCAGGAGCCATGGATGCCCACTTCATCTGCAGGGAACAAAGGCAAGATGTCTCCTCCTTGAAGGGACAAGAAAGAGGTGTGAGAAGGATGGAAATAACACCAACAACCCTAAGAAGAGCAATCTAAGGTTGAAGGGAGGTCAGTGCAGGTGAAAGGCAGTCTAGGAAATGTGAGGAGTCCCTGAATCTATCCTCTTCCCCATGGAAAGACAGGCATCTTCTTGAGTGTAAACTGAGTTGCAACAGTATCTTAGGTAGCAAAAGATCTTGTTAGCACAATGTGGATTTGTTATATTTCCTTTTCTTCTCAGTAGCTCAGGGCACCAAGCAATGTCCATTACCATTCTCTCTATTTTTATCCTTGCAGGGCCTCTGCAAGGTGGCTAGTTTAGCAGATAATAACTGACACACGAGTCACCCAATGGGCTTCAGGGTCAAGTGGCCATTTGAAGCTCGGTCTGCTCAACACTAGCCTGGCATTCTAAGCACTTACAGCAGATCTTGTGGTGATACTAAAGATATCTGAACCTGTTGGTCCTTTATGTCTTGTTTGTTTCTTAGCCCAGGATTGCATCATGATAAGGAATGGAACTTTCAGCTGGTGCAGAGAAAGCCCTCCATGCCTTAAAAGGTAAAGGGGTCATGAACAACTTGGGTCTTTTGTTTTTCAGTTTTTTTCCCTTGAGAAGGAATATGGCTGTCAGATAAATCACCCAGAACAAATCAGCAGAATTTTGACTGTTTTCTTGTATTTCCCCTCTATCCTTCTGACACCCAGCATCAAAACAATGAAATACAGTGGTGCCCCGCATAACGAACAATTCGTTTAACGACGAATCCGCATAGCAATGTGTTTTTTTTGATCATTTTTGTGATCGCATTGCGATGTTTTAAAAACAGCTGATCTGCGGTTCCAAAATGGCCACTGGGTATATAAAATGGCCACTCGCAGTGTTTTTGCGCCCTTTGCTCGCTTACCGGGCAGCGAAGATGGTGGCCGCATGGAGGATTTTCGCAGAACGGTGAGTTTTTTGCTCATAGGAACGCATTAAACGTGTTTTAATGCATTCCTATGGGCTTCTTTGTTCCGCATAGCGAGGAATCCGTGTAGCGACTATTTTTTTCGGAACGGATTATCGTCGCTATGCGGGGCACCACTGTAACTTAAAACAGATATGCAAAACCATCCCTGCTAATGTTGTCACTGTGGCCATCTTCTTCCTCCCCATGCCCTCCCTGTAAGTGGCCCCGCATTGGCATCAGCAGGCAGTTGCAACAGGGAACAGGTGCCACATTGCCACTTTTCCTTCTGCCTCGTGTCTGAAGAGGTGCTGTTTGCCCTTGTTGCAAGAATGGTCAAGGCTGGCTGTTTGAGGTCCAGGGTCACCACCACTATCATCTCAACACTTTCGGTTCGTAGAAGCATGGGAAGTGGTCTGACACTGAGTCCCTTGAGCTGACACCAGCTCTTCATGGTTTCCAAAAGGAATTTCCCCAGTCTTGGTTGGAGATGCCTGGATTGAATGAGGTGCTGTTTGCCCTTGTTGCAAGAATGGTCAAGGCTGGCTGTTTGAGGTCCAGGGTCACCACCACTATCATCTCAACACTTTCGGTTCGTAGAAGCATGGGAAGTGGTCTGACACTGAGTCCCTTGAGCTGACACCAGCTCTTCATGGTTTCCAAAAGGAATTTCCCCAGCCTTGGTTGGAGATGCCTGGATTGAACCTGGGACCTTCTGTGTGCAAAGCAAGTGCTCTACCACAGCTATAGCCACTAACCCCCACTCCACTTTAGTTATGTCCTACCTGTAAACACCCATTGGGATGTGTGGCTCCAACTTTACAGGATCAACCTGACTATAACCCGGGGCAGTCTGTATGCTGTGGTTGGCCAGGTGGGAGCTGGGAAATCATCACTCCTCTCAGCGTTACTTGGTGAGCTGCAAAGATTAGAAGGCTCTGTAGCAGTGAAGGTAACCTCTTTTTTTCTTATGTGGGGTTAGTTTTTTGTTTTTAGCTTCAAAAGCAGATCTGAAGCTTAGAATAGTTTGCTTTATTGTCATTCAAGACTATTAAGGTTGCATATTGAAATCCAAATGCCATAATTACATCCTTGACCAAATGTAATGGATCAGAGGCTGAATAAGTTCCTTTTTGAACTTCAGTTCACAGAATTCCCCTGCAAGCTTGACAGGTTGCTGAGGTATTCTGGGATTCGTAGTTCAAATGATAAAGATATTTTTTCAAATTTTGGGGTGGGAAAAACTTGTGCACTTGTACTTTGAAATGTCTTAAACATTTTCTAGCCTTTCTCCATAATAGTTAGGATTAGAACTTTTAATTCCTTTTTTTATTTTAATGAAAAACTGAGATTAGCTTTCTCTGCGTGGAATGTATGGAATGTCACCAGTGCTGCTTTCTGCTCATCCTCCTTTGTTACTTTAATGTCACACAGGGCTCAGTGGCATTTGCTCCCCAAGAATCATGGATCCAAAATGCTTCTGTGGAAGACAACATCACGTTTGGAGAAAAGTTGGACCAGAGGTGGTATGACAGGGTGGTTGAAGCTTGCGCGCTGCTCCCAGACATTGATAGCTTCCCTGCTGGAAGTCAAACACAAATTGGAGAAAAGGTTCTTGTTTCATTTTTTTGCCTTCCTTGGAGGTTAGGATCTGTTGTTGGGTGAGGAATTTTACATTGGGTGAGGAATTTTACATTCTCTTAAATGATCCCAGATATGAGTCATTCTTCATATTCTTCATATATGATTGCTTAAATATATGTATTATATGTAGTATTTTAAATTTTGGTTTTTGTTGCGTTCATTCTGCATAACACAAAGGCAAGGCATGCAAAACAAGTGCTTAAAATAAAAACATGGGGTTTACATTCCTGCTATACATAATTTTACCTTTTATGCCACCCTTTTGTGCACTTCCTATATCTGATCTGCCATGTAATTATTTCCTATTGGCTATATTGCATGGGGATGAGTGTTGCAGTCTAACACATTTCCGGGGCACCATGATGGGGAGTGCCAGTGCAGGTGATAACAAACTAGATGAACTGGTGATGCCCTCCCCCCAGGTGTATGAAGGGCTTGGAATGCCTGGAATTTGGGCCTGGCATAGTTTGCAAGCACAAAACTCAAAGCTACGTTTTAGAAAAACTAGGGTTTGAAAACCAGAGGAAACAGGGGGAATTATAAATCCCAGCTTGGAATGCCTGGATTTTGGGCCTGGCATAGTTTACAAACACAAAACTAGGGTTTGAAAACCACAGGGAACGGGGGGAATTATAAATCCCAATTATTTGTGAAAATGCCTTTGTATTATTTTTAAACCCTGCAATTTTGTGTAAGAGAATTTCAGATAAAGAAAAAAAAAGTATGTTGCAAAACAGGGGATCAATATTTCTGGAGGACAGAAACAAAGGATTTGCTTGGCTCGTGCCATTTACAAGAAGGCAGCGGTTTACCTACTGGATGACCCCCTTTCTGCTGTTGATGCCCCAGTCGGCCAGCACATATTTGAACAAGTAATTGGACCAAAAGGCTTATTGAAAAACAAGGTACTTAGATGCACATCTACCTCTCTCTTTCTCTTTCCCTTTCTGCCTTTCCTTCCTTCACTTAGGGTTCAATTTTGAATTAGGAGCACAGGCACACTTGCCTCTACTGTAGGACCCGCATATCCACGAGGGATTGGTTCCAAGCCCCCTCCTGTGGATGCTGAAAAATGTGAATTATAGTGAATGCTACTTTAATAGCAAATGTTATGGTCTTTGATGCCACCTAGTGGCCAGTTTTGGTAATAATGTTATAGAAATATATTTCTCTAGTGAATGCTGTACATATCATGGTTTCTGGATCACTCTAGTGGCCAGTTTTAGTAACTTCACCTTTAGAAATATATTTCTTGGATTTTTCTTTTAATATTTTTTATTATTTTCAGACTGTGGATAAGCGAATCAGTGGATAGTGATCCAACAAATATGGGGGTCGTGCTATATATGTTATTCAACAAGCTAACCATGATGATTGTAAGCTGAACAGCTACAGATCTGGAGGGAGCAGCATGAGGGACACAGATGCATTCTATAAATGGGAATGATATTTAGCCACAACTTTATTTTGATTACAGCCACCACAGCCTTGATTCCACATAGGATATGGAGCCCCAAACTATTTGGTGCCTGATTGAGAGGTTCACAGCATGCTTACGCCTTTTCCCCAGCAGACAGAAAAAGGACTTCCAGTCTCAGGTCCACTCAGGACTGACAAGGAGGGCTTGTCCACTTTGTTTCTGCTTCCCAATTGGCCAGGAAAACCAAACCCAGCTAAGAGTGTGATCAGATGGGGATGCTGAATTGCATTGGAGAGTGCTGGGTGAAATTGCCTTTAAAACAACTCTCTTGTGCACATGCAATCAGGTCCCTATTGCTCCAGCCCATCTCAAAAATAATAATAATAAAAAAAAAGAGTAGCCTCACCTCTGGGCCAAAAAGATCTGGATCAGACATGAAGCAAGATAAGGCTGGTTTATGATTTCCTGTACCTCATTTGTTGCAGAAAGATAACTCAAATCAGACTGTGTCACAAGTGGTCCAAAGCATGAGCGATATCACCATCTGATCACACCCGAATTCTCCAATCCCATGCTTGTACCATGCATGGAACACTATATAGCACAATCATGCTTATTATTTCTTCTCTTAGTGACATAAGCCTATTTGACTCTAAAACTTATTTTGCTGGATCAGACCTAAAGTTTATTTAGTCCAGAACTGGTCTCCAGAAGCATTGAAATAGATTACCCAGGTATCTCTTTTGACAGATGGGAAGGAGGAATAAACTTTCAATTACCTGCTATTTCTTACTGGCATCGTCATGTCTCATCTGGTAGACTTCTCAGTTGGAAGGTTCATTTCAAGTTTCTTGGGAATTTCTCCAATTCTCCCATCATATAAAATGGAGAAATTGATGGGATATGTATTTTTCCAAAATTATTCCAAATTAAAAACTAATTTTTAAAGAAGGGATTTTAATTTTTACTGTAGTTTATTATATTGTGTAAGAAGATATTTGCAGAGTTCAGATAATTTTTTTCTTTTTCCATATTCAGCCATATTAGCTTAATTACCTTAAATTAGGAAGTCCTAATCCTCCTACTTTTTGCAGTTTATACCAGCCCTTCTTATTAACCCTTGACTTTTTATCTCCATTACAAAATTAATTAATCTTGTAACTGTGCACTTGATTTCTTTTTCCGAAGTGCAATACTCAGATTAAAGAAATGTCACTTTACATACATTTGTAATGAAACTCAATGAAAATAAATGGATGATGTTGTAATAACAACTGATATTATTAAGAGGCAAAGGCTATGAAAAAATTGGAGTGTATCTGGTCCAGATGAGCTGCATGGATTTTGATGAAAGCATCGAACAAGTCTCTATCAACATATAGCAGTGCAATTTAACCACTTATTTCAAAATTCTACAACTGAAGACTGGATGACAACAGGTCTCACATTTCTGATAATAAAACATCATCAAAAGGGCAATGAATCCAGTTATTATTGACCAATTACATGCCGTTCAACAGTGTTCAAGCTCCTCAGAAGAGTACTTACAACACAATGTATAATTACTTACTTAACTGAAAACTCCCTATACCCTATTGAACAGGGAACCTTAAAAAGTCAAGAGGCACAAAAGATTATTGATAAAATGATACTGAAGAATGCAAAAAGACAAAAAACAAACATTAACATGGTCTGGATAGACTATAAAAAGCCATTGGACTCAGTGTGACACAGCTGGATAAACACCTGCCTAAAAATGTTTGGGATTACTAAAAACATTCAGAAGTTTCTCAAGAAAAACATGGAAAAATGGGAAACGGTCTTAATGGCCTGTGGCAAAGAAATCAGGGAAGTTAGCATCAAAAGAGGACTATTTCAGGGGGATTCTTTGTCACCACTGCTGTTTAACATCTCACCAATCCCCGTGTCAATAATTTTAAATAAAACTGGATTGGGCCATCATATTTCACAACAAGCAGGAAAAAGCAATCATCTGTTATATATGGTGTGATATTTACCCATGTAGCCCGTGCTTGTTTCACCAAACACAGAGCTCACCCAAGTATCCCAATATGAGTATCCCTTTGCCACCAGTTGACCTCTGTCAACACCCTTTAATTAGAAAGACTGAGATCCAAGCTGAGTATAAAGTTGAATAATACAGGTTTATTGATTAGTTTACTTAAGCAGGTTCTTCACAGACTTTAATATATTCATTATATTAGTAATAACTTGTTTCACCCTTAACTCTCTTAGTTCTCTATAAGTTCCACACTCTTAACTCCTAACTCTGCTACTCTCTCTAACTACCACAGACTAACTTCTACTTCTACCTCATCTCTGACTCTCAGTCCCTCTCACGTCAGACTCTCCTCCCTGACTTAAACTGACTGACCTTAAACTGACTCACCCCTCCCTCCTGGTTTCTCTGGCTCTGCCTCCCAACAGCTCCCATTGGTGCAGGCCAATACCATTATATTTATATGAAGACAGGGTGTTGGCTACACATGGATGACCTAAAATTATATGCAAAATGTTCCACAGAGAATCATTACTAAACACAGTGCAAATATTTAGTGAAGATATCCAAATGAAATTTGGAATTGACAAATGTGCAACTCTGTTTATATACCGTGGCAAGACCCAAAAACTAAACGGAATAAAGTTTAAAAGGGTAATATTATAAAATCACTATAAGAATTATAAATACCTTGGAATACTAGAAGCAGACAACATCGTGCACACAAAAGTTAAAGAACTGACAAAAAGAGAATATATCAAAAGACTCCTTAAAATATTAAAATCCAAATTAAATGGGGGAAATACAATCAAATCATAAACACATGGGCCATTCCAGTAATTATATCCCAGCTGGAACAATAGATTGGACTCAAAGTGAACTAGAAGAATTAGATCAAAAAACACAAATACTAACGAATATGCATCACGCTTCCAAAACGTGAAGTGGACAGATTATATTTACCATGAAAACTTGGAGGCAGTGGATTACTAAAAGTACAGCAGGTAGCAGAAGAGGAAAAAAGAAGCCTAAATTATATCAGTACAAACAGAAAAATTGCTTAAGGAAAATATTTTGAAAACAACAGAAACAGAGGCTCAATATAAGAAACAACAATTTGAAAATAAACTTTAAATAAACCACTAAATGGACAATACCTGAGATATATTGATGGAAAACATGATAATAATTCAACATGGGCATAGTTGAAACTGGGAACTCTTAAGAAAGAAACCAAAGGCTTGATTTTTGCTGCACAAGAACAAGCACTCCAAACCAACACGATGAAAGCTAAGTTCCACGGAATTAGTGCTAACAGCAAATGTGGACTCTGCCAAGAAAAAGATGAAACTGTGTCACACCTCATCTATGAATGTCCGAAGATTGCACAAACAGATTACAAAATTAGACATGATATGGTGGCAAAATTAGTGCACTGGACATTATGGAAAAATATAACTTGCCATCCTCCAAAAATCTATGGTAGAGAAGGTGTCAGAAAATGAGAAAGTCAAGATCATATGGGAATTCTGGATCCAAACTGATAGATACCTTGAACATAACACACCAGACAAACATAGTAGTAATAGAATTAATAAATGTCTAGATCATTATGTCTGGATCACTGGCTTTGCAATTCCAGGGGATGCCAGAGTTGAAAATAAAGAATTGGAAAAACTAACAAAGCATAGAGACCTGGCAATCCAAACATCTCACTTGTAGATGAAACACACTTTGTTGGTCCCTGTAGTCATTGGAGCTTTGGGAATAATATCAAGAAATTTCACAGAGTAATATAATCAGTTATAGATCTCAGAAATAACACCAGCAGAGTTACAAAAACCAGCAATATTAGGAACAGCATACATACTGCAATTATATTTAACAGATATGTATTCTTGAAGGCTTTCACGGCCAGGATCCGATGGTTGTTGCAGGTTTTTTTTCCCCCCGGCTGTTTGGCCGTGTTCAGCCAAACAACCTGAAAAACCTACAACAACCATTTAACAGATACTTAGGATTTTTGTTAAAACCTGTACAGTCATGGCCAAAAATATTGGCACCCTTGCAATTCTGTCAGAAAATGCAACCCTTCTCTCAGGAAATTGTTGCAGTTGCAAATGTTTTGGTACTCACATGTTCATTTTTTTTTTTTTTTTTTGCGTTGGAACAACATACAACAACCATTTAACAGATACTTAGGATTTTTGTTAAAACCTGTACAGTCATGGCCAAAAATATTGGCACCCTTGCAATTCTGTCAGAAAATGCAACCCTTCTCTCAGGAAATTGTTGCAGTTGCAAATGTTTTGGTACTCACATGTTCATTTTTTTTTTTTTTTTTTGCGTTGGAACAACATAAAAAAAGATAAGAAAAGTCAAATCTGATACAATCCCACACAGAAACCCCAAAATGCACTGGCCAAAATTACTGGCACCCTTAACTTAATATTTGGTAGCATCCCCTTTGGAAAAAATTACTGAAATCAATCACTTCCTGTAACCATGAATGAGTTTTCTCACACCTCTCTACTGGAATTTTGGACCACTCTTCTTTTGCAGACTGCTCCAGGGCCTTCAGATTTGAAGGATGCCTTCTCCCAATTGCTGTTTTGTGATCTCCCCACAGGTGTTCTATGGGATTCAAATCTGGACTCATTGCTGGCCATTTCAGAACTCTCCTGCGCTTTGTTTGTAACCATTTCTGCTTTTTGAAGTGTGTTTTGGGTCATTTTCCTGCTGGAAGACCCATGACCTCTGGTGGAGACACAGCTTTTTGACACTAGCCACAACGTTGCGCCCCCATGTTCTTGGGTAATCATCAGATTTCATGATGCTATTCACACAGTCAAGGCATCCTGTGCCAGAAGCAGCAAAGCAACCCCAAAACATCTTTGAACCTCCACCATCCCACGGGCTGTCTTAAAAAAAAAAAAGACCCAATCAGTTGATTCATGGTTCGTTGGGCCAGTGTGTGTGTGGGGGGGCAATTCATGTTTCGTTTGGCACTTTGTCCCCATCTCTAGTCTGTGCCTTGTTCTCCTGATGGATAGATGTCCAAACAACCAGACCTGGACTGCTTCTTGAACCCTGATTGTATTGCTGGCTCTGTGAAGCCTTGCTTTGTGGACGGACCCTGACATTTCTTCTGCTTGCTTCCTGGACCTCGGTTACTGGCATAGGCCTTTGCTCTTTGAAAGCAGGACAGGAAACCAGTATAGTTCTTCCTTTGTTACTCTCCAAAAATAACATGTGATATTCTGTTATTTAACCATTGACATTCTGGGAATTTAGAAATGGGAAGTAAAATTATACAGTACTGCAGAATTTAAGAGGCTGGTCTGATGGCTTTAAGAATGAATCATTATGTAATATAATATAATTGGTTTTCCCTTTTTTTTCCCCTAAGAATGAATCATTATGTAATATAATATAATTGGTTCTCCCTTTTCCCCCCCAGACTCGTGTTCTGGTGACCAATGCAGTCCATCTTTTGCCCAAGGTGGACAACATCATAGTAGTAACAAGTGGAGAGATTTCTGAAACAGGCACTTGTCAAGAACTTGGAAAAAGACAGGGACCTTTTGCAGATTTCTTGAAGTCCCTTAATACCAATCATTATGTAATATAATATAATTGGTTCTCCCTTTTCCCCCCCAGACTCGTGTTCTGGTGACCAATGCAGTCCATCTTTTGCCCAAGGTGGACAACATCATAGTAGTAACAAGTGGAGAGATTTCTGAAACAGGCACTTGTCAAGAACTTGGAAAAAGACAGGGACCTTTTGCAGATTTCTTGAAGTCCCTTAATACCGAAGAGCTGGAGGATGATGAACTACAAGGAATGGCAGGCCACACTGTCAACCAAAGTGAGTAATGGTGGCCTATGGGCTGCATGTGGCCCCCAGCTACCCATGTGTGCCCCATAGCACATTCACACATTCTGATGAGAAAAAAATGGTACAAAGAGTACCCCTGTGCCTTTAGAGTCTATGCATGGGGCAGAGTTGCCATGATGTGAGGGGCCAAAGATGTGGAGTCCCGCAGCCCAAGATTAAAAAAAAATGTTTTGGCCCTATGAAGGAGGTCATGGCTAAAACATTCACAATGTCTGTTGTTTGGTATGGACAAGAAGCCCTGTAAAATATGTCTCTGGAACTGGTGATTTTTTTTCTTCCTGAAGCAGCACTGACTCTTCTATTGCTGTTTTTCCCCACTTTTTAAAGAGATTTTTTTCCAAACTTCTTAATTCCACAGGTGCAGGAAGGAGTGACACAATCCCCAAAGGAGACATAACACATCCAGAAAAACATGAAAGGTCAGTGCACCTAGCTGCATTCATTAATCTAAGGAAACATTTCAGCTGGGAGAGGATGAATAATTTGTTCTGCTCTATGCAGTTAAAGTTGTGTTCCTGCAAAGCAAAACTGCTCACAAGTGCAGGGCTGGCTGTGCCATAAGGCAGAGAGAGGCAATATGCCTCAGTCAAGAAAGGCAGTGGAAAAGCAGCAGCAACCTTTAGTTGCTTTCCCTGAATTCCTTGAAGATTTCCCTCTTTGGGGAGACAGAGCCATGTATGCCACACAGACCCTCTTGAGCCCCCTAAACCAGGGATAGGCAGAGTGCAGGTCCCAGGAGCATCTCTGCAGAAAATACTTGGTCACACAAGAGCCACCCTATGAAAATGATTTAATTTTTAAAAAGATAATTCCTAAGGGAGTGGTGGCTTTCCTATGGTGGAGATTGGGGAGGAGTCTCCCAGTACCTCTCCAAATGAAACCAGGAATGCCCATCTAGGCATTTCCTATGTTCCTTCTTGGTGTCTCCCCCCTCTGCTTGCCACAAATAAAGGCATTTTAAGCCATTTCCAGGCATAGTATGGCCTATGGCAGGGTCTGTGAAGGAGAAAATTTGGACTTCAGGCTTGCTGGTTACCTGTCCCTGTCCTAAGATAACTTACTTGACATAGCCAGTTTCCCAAGCTCTGTATATCCCCACATCCCACTACTGCCCTGTGATGTCAAACATCTCATCCCACACTGCAGAACATCCCTGGTGGAGCAGCTCTACCATTCCAGAGGGTGCTTCTGCCAGCGTATCCTCAGAACGGGAGTGCCTTCAGAACTTACCACAGACCTCCATGGCCTCTTGACCAGTGAGAACATTAATGCAGAACTTAAGTTTTAGCACTGCTTTTGAAGCACCGTAATGTCCTGTACAACACTAATCTTTCTTCTCTTTCCATAAAGATTTTCTTCAGCAGAGGGTGGTGATTACGGGCCAACAGATGTAGATACAGCAGGATTGATGGCAGAAGACAAGGAACAACTAACTGGGAGGGTAAATCAAAACATTTTTCAAATATCTTTCTTAAAAGGTTGTGCAGCTTCTACAATCTGTTACCACTGCTGAGTGGGGCTGATGGGATCCAGAGGCCAGAACAACTGAAGGGCCAAAGATTTCCCATCTCTGGCATATATGATTGCTGTCATCAGGTGATAGGGCAGAGTGACAGATACAGTGGTGCCTCGCACAGTGGTGCCCTCGCTGTGTGAAAGCATCGTTGAACGGAACATAAAATGCCATTGGAACGCATTAAACATGGTTTAATGCGTTCCAATGGCATTTTATGTTCCGTTCAACGATGCTTTCACACAGCGAGGGCACCACTGTGCGAGGCACCACTGTATTCTGATCTGGTATAAAAGAGTTTCATGTGTAAGTTATTTGTCAAGGCTATCCAGGAAAGGATGTTAAAAAAAGGACAGGGCTGTAGTGCAGTGGCACATAGTTTGTGTGCAGAACATGACATATTCAGTCTTCAGCCTTTCTGGGTTTAAAAAAAATCAGCAAGTGATAGAGAATATGTGCTTCACTATTTGCCTAGTATTGACAGTTAGTTGTATTTATATTTGGCCTTCCCTCCAAACAGCTCAGAGGCCTGTACGTGCCTCTTTTCCCTGCCTTATCCTCACAGCTCCCCTGGGAGGGTGGTGGCTGGCCTGAGGCCATTTGGTGAATTTCATGACTCCATCTGGGCTTGAACCTAGATCCCAGCTCACCCCTCTAACCATTCCAATGATCAGGACCTGTCCTTACCTTTTACTGGAAACTACTGCCTATCAACAGTAGACCCAGGCTGCATGAACCTAGAATCTGTAGGATTCCAGAGGTCATTGAATCCCCTTGTTCCACCCAGTTCTAGTTAAGCTGTCAGATGATGAGGCGTGTAGTTCATATGCCGTTCGTATCAGGAAAGTCAGAGATAGATAATTCCAGGTTTGATGAACAAATACTTTCGCCCATCTAAGAAGGACACTAGGTGGTCAAATACCATCAGGTTTGAATTCAAAGCTCTTTTTTTCTGTCTGCATGACGTACAAGGCCAAATTGAATTGGTCTAGCCTTTTTCTTATCAACCTGTTTCTCTCTTTCTCTCTCTCTGCCTGTAGAGGACTGCAACTTTTTATGCCGGGAGGGTTTTTTGGGGGGCTTTTTTGCCTGTAGACTTTGTTGTATAGATGGTGGGATGTCTATAACACCTGCATTCACCTTTCTTGCACCAAACTTCTTGGGATTCCCAGATACTTGGCTGAGGGCCAGGGAAAGTTCTACCTGGCTTGTCTACAAACAATGTGTGGTTCATTTGCACTGGCACATGCCCCATCTCTAGGTCCTCCTGAACTATATCTCCTTTTCACCAGCATCCTGGCATCCAGCCAACACATCCATCCACCCTTTCTGTGTCTCTTTTCTGACTACACATAAAAATTAGAGATGGGCATGAATCAGCAAAATGGCAATTTGTCGCAATTCATAATTCATCAGGGATGCATGAATCACAAATCACAAAATAACTTTTTTTAAAAAACAGACAAATCGATTTGTCAGTTTGCTGGTTATTTAAAATGCTATAACACCTCCCCTGGCACCTAGAGGCGCCAAAAGTTTAAATACTCTACAGGCTTCAAAGCAAACCAAAGCAAAGTTGAGTCCTTCCAATTTGGTGTTTCAATATAGTCACGTCCCACGACTGCTTCCTCATCTCAATCTGTCCCTCCTTCTTCTTGGTCTCTCTTCCTTTGTTCTAGGCGAAGGCTTCTACCTACCTGAGCTACCTGAGAGTGGCTGGGGATTTCATCTGGGTATATATCATGCTTTTGTTCACCTGCCAGCAAGTTTCCTCCTTTTGCCGTGGCTACTGGCTCAGCCTGTGGGCCAATGATCCCATTTGCAACGGAACCCAGCAGCATACTGGACTCCGTGTGGGCGTCTCCTTTTTCCTGGGATGTGCTCAAGGTTTGTCTCACTTAAAATTCTTGGGCACATGGGGAAACATATCGTTTCAAAAACTGAACTGTTCCGCACTGCTTCTGGCAGACCCTGTACAAGAAGGCAATAAGAGAGCCACATCAAGACAACCAGTAAAACGCGTAAAACAAGACCACCCAACACATGCAGCAAAGATTGCTCCACGTGTTCTTACTTATTTATGGGCCAGAATCCTACTAGTAGTTCACTCTTACAGAAGGGAAACTGCATAAGTTGCAGCAGCTAACGGTTATTCATTGATTAGGTGCTGGTTTTATTGAGAGGTGGGTGGGAACAAGCAGGGTGTAGGAGGGGCTAAAATTCTCTCCTGCTCACACTTTCAAATGAAACCTTTTCTTGAACACCCAAATGGGGCTCCAGCAAGTTCTGGGGCTGAGTCGGCATTTGAACCCAGGGCTCCCTGCTCCTGGACTCTGTCTTGCCAAAGGCCTTGTCACTCTTTGTCATCATTACTGTAATATTGATTCATTAATTCACAGGGCCTTTTTGTTTGTGGCACTCAAGTTATTTAACTCTGTACAAGAGATCCATTCAGCCCCTTCCCTATACAGTGGTGCCTCACTAGACAGTTACCCCGCATGACAGTTTTTTCTCTAGACATTGACTTTTTGCGATCGCTATAGTGATTCGCAAAACAGTTATTTCTATGGGGGAATTTCGGTGGACAATGTTTGGTCCCTGCTTTGCAAACCGATTTTCACTAGACAACGATTTTGACAGCTCCCTCTGCGCTCGCAAAACGGGTGTTTTTGGGACCTAAGCTTCACAAGACAGCTATTTAAACAGCTGATCGGCAGTTCGCAAAGCGGCTTTCCTATGGCCGATCTTCGCTAGACAACGACGATTCTTTCCCATTGGAACGCATTAAACAGGTTTCAATGCATTCCAATGGGGAAATGCTTTTTGCTAGACAATGAGTTCGCTAAACAGCGATTTCAGTGGAACGGATTATCATCGTCTAGCAAGGCACCACTGTAATGGGAGTTAGATGCTTTCAGAAAATACTTTCACTTTTTTACCAAGTTTTTGGATTTATTTGTTTTTTCTGTGGGTTTTATTTTTAAATAGGTATGTGACTATCCCCATTGTTTCTACTTGGTTTTGATTTGTCATTATGTGAAATATAATGGGCAAAGGCCATATAGCAGAATATAAATTGTCTTAAATATTTTGTGTGTTAGTGTCCCACCTTTGAAATGTACACACCCCAAGAAAGCAAGAGTTTGATATCACCATTGCTTTGTTTTTCGCCCCAAACTAAAATGTACCTTCTTTGTTTAGGCATTTTAAAATTTAAATATTTGCAATTTTATTTGCTTTAGCTGTTTGTTTTCCAATTTAATACTATTTTATCCCTCTTATTTTATGACATTACTTGAGTTATTATATGAAATGTGTTTTTATAATGTAATTAAACTGACCTTCCCTGTTCCTGTATGGATGATGGACACAACTTTTGAGATAATTACTTTTATGGACCACAACTTTCTGAAGCCTCCTGCCAGCATTGCTGCTGGAAGGTTCTACAAGTCGTAGTCCAAAAAATTAATTTTTCCAAAGTGGGGATTTTTAAATTTTAAAAATACAGAAAGGAAGCTATATTTGTACATTTAAGCTTTATATAGCAAGTTCAGCAGAAGTGAAAGTGAAAGTGAAAGATTTGAGAACCTTTTGGTGTTTTACAACATCAGTTACAAACAGCTGTTCAGTATGGGCAGATTGTCACATCCCTTCTGGAGTGTGGGAAGCCCATTTCCATAATTTATATGCAAAAAACCCCGATCTCCCTTTGAGTTGAATTCAGTTAGCTTGTTAGTAAGTTCTACACCAGACAACTTTATTGGAAACTTCAAAAATGGATGGCTATTGAATATACTTTCACTGATGAACAAGTGGGCTTCAGATCAGGAAGATCTACCTTGGATCAGGCCCTTATCCTGCAGTATTTGGTGGAAAAATATTCTAGTAAACCTAAAGGGTCTTTCTTTGCAAACAGATTATGGCATAAACTAGAGGCTTCCACATTAGACCAGTGGTTACCATTGCTTATTTACCAGGTGCATGAAAACATAGCCATGAAAATAAGGTGTAATCTGGAAGGTCATCTGTTTAATAAAATCCCTATATATAATGGAGTTAAACAAGGTTGCATACTGGCCCCATTCTTAATTTAATTTTGATATTAACTCAATAGTGGCAGCTCTTAGCAAGCCAGATTTCCACCCCCACAAGTTAGTGGGCAGACACCTCTCAGTGCTGTTATATACTGATGATGCCGTACTGCTATTGTGGGCATCTATTGGCTTAGATAAAGGCATTGTGTGCCATAGTATATTATAGCCAAAAGGACAGCCTTCAAATAAATTATGAAAAAGCTAAAGTTATGGTGCTTGAAAAAAGACCAAAGCTCTACAAATGGTCAATAAATGGTCATCACATTGAGCAGATAAGGGCCTTTAAGTTCCCTGGTGTTGTTTTTCAGTTAAATGGTTCCCAAAAGGTACATGCACAATACATTGCACAAGTGGCACAGAGATCCATCTCTACAAATTTGATTTTTTTAAAAAAATACTCAGTGGGGCATTATATTCTGGCTGCTTTAAGATTATTTCAGGTCAAATCTTAGTCAAGTCCTTTATGGCACACAGCTGGGTCCTTACACCTCTTTCACCTCCTTGGAAGTAGCACAATCAAGATTTCTAAGAGCCAGTCTTCGGGTACCCCACTTGGTTTCAAATGCAGCTGTATGACTGGAGGTGGGATACCTGAAATTTCAAACTAGGGTTTGACTAGCTATTTTCTTTTTCTGACTGAAATTAATCTTCTTCCCAAGAGGTTAAACCTCTTTAATATTACTAGATAACCGTCAGTCAATTTAGAAGAAAATTCTGTCTATCAAACTTAAAAGAGATGGCTTCTCTGGGGAACGCCTTGTTCTCATGGAATATGCTGCAGCTAATGGAGTCCTCAGACAATGTATTATGGAGGCTGAGAGGCAGCATGATTTAGGTCCAACTTCCAACAATATATTAATTGATTTCTCATTGTTACTTTTCAAGTCAGCTAAGTATTTCTATTTACTTTTAATACAAAAACAATGTAGAGTTTTTACCTTTGTCCCATCTACATGCTCTGCCATCAGCAGTACAAGAGCAGAAGTTTAAAAAGATTCCCTAGTCTCATTGCAAAGGCCCTTGTAATTCTGGTGGAATAGAAAAAATAACTCATGTTCTTCTGCATGGCCCCTTCTATCTTGGGATTCGGGAATTTTTTATCAAACCATATATAAAGATATTCCCTGGACTCTCAGAGGTATATTATACCCTTCTGTTGTTGTCAGGGCAAAATACTGCATGGTGTCAGGAGCAAAAACAAGTATGTTGTTTGACATAGTAAAATGTTGTGTGGCTGCAATTAAAATCCATGAAGGAAAGGTCTCAATAAATTTTTAGCGAGCTTTTAGCTACAGTTAAAGATGGGGACAAAACACCAAAATAGTGGCTTGTCTTGGTTCTACCTTAGGAAAGGAAAGGAAAGAGCGCCTTCCGTCTCTGCCTGTGCTCCCGCCGATCAGCTGTTCAGTGGGGCCCTAGGCAGAAAGGGAAGGCTAGGCTGCCTGAATGTAGTCTTCCTTCTCTGCCTATGGAGACAAATAAAAATGGGTAAATATTTGTCCCTTCATATTTGCCAGACTCTCCAGAAGTGACAAGTAAAAAGGGACGAATATTGGATGAAATTTCTTAAAGGTAAAGGTAAAGGTTCCCCTTGACAATTTTTGTCCAGTCGTGTTCGACTCTAGGGGGCGGTGCTCATCCCCGTTTCCAAGCCATAGAGCCAGCGTTTTGTCCGAAGACAATCTTCCGTGGTCACATGGCCAGTGCGATTTAGACACGGAACGCTGTTACCTTCCCACCGAAGTGGTCCCTATTTATCTACTTGCATTTGCATGCTTTCGAACTGCTAGGTTGGCGGGAGCTGGGACAAGCGACGGGCGCTCACTCCATCGCATGGATTCGATCTTACGACTGCTTGGTCTTCTGACCCTGCAGCACAGGCTTCTGCGGTTTAGCCCACAGCGCCACCACTGAAATTTCGTACAAATATTATAATTCATTTTTAAAATTCATACCCTTGTCTAGTTATAGTAATACAGGCATCCATGAGTGTGGGGGTGCCCCACCCCCCACGCACGGAGCTTGCCCCCCCAACCAGTCCGCAGTTTCAAAAAGGTTGGGGACCGCTGTAGTAACAGA